TAATTCGGAGCACCACATTTCGGCAGTGGCTGTATGAAGGAAGTTTTCTATTAAAGAGGAATGGATGCCTAAATAATTGTAAGGTTACATATTCTGGGCTGGGGGTTTTACAATGAGGTTTTCATCACAATGTGGAGGGAAAAAGCAGGACGTCCATTGGTACCACCACCAGAGGAAGTTCTTAGGGAGGAAACCATGATTAAGACTTTAAGGTCTGATAAGCGTAAAATAAATGTATATTTAGTGGGAAACTAGCGGAAAGTACCCGGCGTTGCCCAGGTCTTAAAAATATTTCAAAACTACTCTTAAAAATCAAACAGCAGTGCGTACTGTGGTGGTACCTGCTATGATTACAGCAGTGCATACAAACTGTGGTGGTACCTGCTATCACTACAGTAGTACATGCTGACTCTATATCAGTATTTATGGACTGTATAGCACAAAGTACTCACCTGACAGAGTGGCGTGGTGAGGCGTAGTCCTGTGCAGAGCCTCCGGCCTCGCCTAGATTGTCCAGCCGTCCAAGGTGGCACCTTGGCAGGCTGGGCTGCTACCCCTGACCCCCCCCCCCCCCCAGGCACGATCTCCCCGGCCGCTCTGCAGTAATATCTACGGCCTATAGTGGTAGCATCTAGCGACTGTATAGTAGTAAGTATAGTGATAATAACTGCACGCATAGGGGTGGGGGGGGGGCATCACACAGTGAAGAATTTCCCTGAGCGTTTAGTGTATGTTTATAGCATTTATAACGCGAAAGAAAATGTCCCCTTTACTTCCACCGAAGGCGTGTGACTTGGCATGCTCTCCCCCCACCACCAAAGGCGCGTGAGTTGGTATGGTCGTGCGCGTGATAAATAAATAAAATGCCTACTGCCTATAGTACTAGTATCTAGCCACTGTATATATTAATAACTGCACGCATCGGGGTGGGGCATTTTTTACGCGAAATAAAATGTCCTCCTCACTCCCACCGAAGGCATGCGACTTGGTATGGGCCGTTCCCCCCACCAAAGGCGCGTGAGTTGGTACGGTCGTGCAGGCGTAATAAAAAAATAAAAACATGTAAGCGCACAAAAATCGCACTAAATCGATGATTAAACTAATTTAAAGATGACAGATGTGAAAAAGGAATAGCGCTTGCTGACCGCAGGGCTTACGGTATGGTACCTGGCTATTTTAAATCCTTTATATTAAGTTCACTTGCTTGCTTGCTTGCGCGCTTACAACCGTGCAAATCTTTCGGTCGTTTTTTAACCCACTTCCCGTGATCCAATCGAGCTGACATTTTGCACACAGACTCGTTGTGCGTGACAATTTATGTTCGTGAAAATTTTTTCTCCAAAATTTTCCACTTTTTAGGACAAATTTTGTTTTCATATTTTATTTAAAATACCAATGTGATAAAAATGAAACTCTTACTCAAGAAAAACAGAAATGAATAATAAAATAAAACCGATGCCACGCATATAAAGGATTTATAGCGTTGCTCCTCCGCCCTCCGTTGTTGTTGGAGGGTGACTGCCTCCAACTGCCCAGTAGCGTCCTTCACGAGCCTCCTCCACTGCGGCCGATCTTGACACCGCTGGTACCAGTCATCGACAAGTCCACTCAGCTCCACGTCCTCCTGTACCACATCACTCCATCTTTTCTCTAGCCCGTGCTGCGCCTGTTTAGCCCCCTCGATCCGGCCGAACAAAAGCTGTTTAGGCATGCGGTGGCTGGGTATGCAGGCTACATGACCCAGCCAACGCAGCCTTGCCTGCCGGAGGAGCTCACCGATGGGACTTTGCCCAGATCTTTCAAGGATTTGTGAGCTCCTCACACAATCCAGCCTGGTTAAACCCAGGATGGATCGTAGGCAGGCCAGCCTAAATGTTTTTAACCGGCGAAGATGCTCCATTAGGGTGGTCCACGTTTCGCAAGCGTAGAGAAGGGAGGGAATGACTGTGGCCGAGAAGACCTGAAAATTCGAGCGGAGTGACAGACCAGGCAGCTTCCACACAGCGTTACGCAACCGATGAAAAGATATTGCTGCTCGACTGATTCGGAGTGAGACCTCCGCTGCCAAACCGGAGCCGGTCATGAGCACACTGCCCAGGTATGGGAAACTTTCCACTCTCTCCACAACTGCCCCATCACCGATTGAGAGTTGTGGGGGTGGAGTGTCTGATGGTACAAAATACCCAGGCAGGTGCTTAATTTTGGTGGGGCTAATGGTAATGCCCCACCTCTTAGTGGCACATTCCAGTTTCAGCAGAAGCGTCTCTAACTCCTCCTCTGAATGAGCAGCAATTACCAAATCATCGGCATACATAACGTGGTTGACCAATAGGGAGCAATCCCTTGACCGCCCCCGGGCATCAATCAGTCTCCCATTATATCTGTACCAAATGGAAATTCCCCCGGTACAGCTATTGAAGGCTTCACGAACTACGTGGTCAAAATAGATGTTAAATAATGTGGGAGCCAGAGGACATCCCCGTCGCACCCCAAGGTGTATAGGGAATGGCTCTGACTCCTGGCAACGTAGTTTTACCCGGGCCCACTCACCAACATGAAGGTCCTTAATGATCGTGAGCAGAGGGTCAGGGACTATGAAAGCACGAAGAACAACCCAGAGCCCAGGCCTACTGATGGTATCATAGGCCTTGACCAGATCAATAAAGCAGAGATGTAGGTCTTGTTGGAATTCCCTACACCTCTGCTGTAGCAGACAGACAGAAAATATGGCATATGTGAAAGACCTCCCTTTCCTGAAACCGCATTGGGGTTCCGCAAGCCTCTCCTCAGCGTGCCTAGCAAGGCGATGTTGAATAATCCTTGCCAGGACCTTTCCCGGCATACTGAGGAGTGAGATGCCCCTGTAGTTGTTACAGTCTGTGCGGTCCCCCTTCTTAAAGAGGGGGACCACCAGGGCATATTTCTAGTCCTATGGAACCCGTCCAGTGGTCCAGACTGTTGTTATGATGTCATGTAGGGCAGTCTGTGCACAAACGCCACCCTCCCTCAGCATTTTGCTTGGGAGATCATCTCTGCCCGGTGCCTTTCCTGGTCTCAGACTCTGGATCGCTTTCCATACTTCCTCAACCAATGGCACCTCAGCCAGCCACTCACAGGGGGTGACTTCCAATATTTGAGGCACCGCAGCCTCAGCAGGGTCATCCCCACTTTGTCCCACGTTGTTTTCCTGGGTAAGGGATTTCCCCTACCCTAGGACCTCACAGAAATGCTCAGAAAATCTGCAAACTTGTTCCTGGGGGTCGGAGATTGGATCACCATTCTTTCCCCTAATGATGGTAATAGGTGTGGCGCTGCAGGTTACTTTTGTCATGAAATTAAAGAGCGATTTGTTCTTGCGGGCCACTGAGGCAGACTCCTATCTCCTCAGCAACCTGTGACCACCACCCATCCTTGCAGCGCCTCACGGCTCTCCGAACCTCCGAGCGAAGGCTGCGGTAAGCCTCCTCATTCTCTGATGTGGGATGCTGTAGACGATTAGAGTGGGCCTTTCGCTTTTTCTCAACCATCCTGAACACCTCCTCTGTCATCCAGGGTCTTTGGGGAGGTCTGGACCACGTTCCCAAAGCAGCCATTGCAGCTGCATAAGTCACAGTCCTAAACCTTGCCCATTTACTCTCGACATCAGGAGTGGGGGACGATGCCAACCCCAGCCGCAAGCGTTGATGAAATTCTCGCTTGCAACTTTCATAAGCTAACTGAGACCAGGCCACCTTAGGTTGGAATGGGGTCTTGGGTGTACATCCACCACCGGAGTGGAAGAATGGCAGGCGCATCTTACAGATGACTAGTCAGTCGATGGTCAGAGGGCAGATCAGCTCCACGGTAGGTCCTGGTGTCAAGGACATGGGCTCGCATCCGCTGATCCGTCACTATGTAGTCCAGCAGATGTTCTTGCTTGGATCCAGCATGCATCCGTGATGTTGTGCGCCGATGCCGGAACAGCGTGTTGGTAATTACAAGATCATTGGCTGCACAAAAATCTAGCAGCCTCCTACCGTTGTTATTGAACTGATCTGGCCCATGCCTTTCAATCACTACAAACCAGGTGCAGACACACAACAACAACCGCCATTCGCCACTAAGTGGCGGTGACGTCACCACGACGCTTGTGCCAGGCCATGTGCACCTTGAGGCCACGTGAAGTGTCGAACGCCCGCTGGCAGGAGGTCACGGGGCAGACCCAGGTGCCACGGGTTGACTGACTGAGATGACCGAGATGACTGGCTAATGCACCACCTGTGTCCCCTACTGTACTAACTTGCTGTGCTTTAGCCACACGGTGCTCCGCTCGTTGTTGTGAGCGTCGCTCCTCCGCCCTCCGTTGTTGTTGGAGGGCGACTGCCTCCAACTGCCCAGTAGCGTCCTTCACGAGCCTCCTCTACAGAGGCCGATCTTGACACTGCTGGTACCAGTCATCGGCAAGTCCACTCAGCTCCACGTCCTCCTGTACCACATCACCCTATCTCTTCTCTAGCCCGTGCTGTGCCCGTTTAGCCCCCTCAATCCGGCCAAACAAAAGCTGTTTAGGCATGCGGTGGCTGGGCATGCGGGCTACATGACCCAGCCAACGCAACCTTGCCTGCCGGAGGAGCTCACCAATGGGACTTTACCCAGATCTTTCAAGGATTTGTGAGCTCCTCACACAATCCAGCCTGGTTAAACCCAGGATGGATCGTAGGCAGGCCAGCCTAAATGTTTCCAACCGGCAAAGATGCTCCATTAGGGGGGTCCACGTTTCGCAAGCGTAGAGAAGGGAGGGAATGACTGTGGCCGAGAAAACCTGAAGCTTCGTGCGGAGCGACAGACCAGGTAGCTTCCACACAGCATTACGCAACCGATGAAAAGATATTGCCACTTGACTGATTCGGAGTGAGACCTCTGCTGTTACACTGGAGCCGGTCATAAGCATACTGCCCAGGTGTGGGAAACTCTCAACTCTCTCCACTACTGCCCCATCACTGTCCGGCAAAACAACCCCCTACCTCCTCGCGGTGCCGGATGGGCAACACTGTCGTGGACAGTGCTGTGGGGGGAGAGCCAATGCCCATTGGCCTCTCCCCTCATGGCGTCTGTGACCACCACAGTGGCTAAACGGGGGCTCTGGACGGGTGCGAGGGGCTGGTAACCCCTCCACCTTCAATTTATTACCACGAAACTACGAATTAAACATAAATATGTAACTAATAAGCTTGTGCTGGAGGCCCCGGGGAGACAGGCGTCTATAACATCTCCTGGCCAAACCCCAATTGGCGGAGCCAGGAGATTAAATCTTCACCCTCGGGGCTCCTCCAAAAACAACGAAAGCCACTATGGATGGCCACGTGGAATGTTCGAACGCTCACTGCGGAGGAGAGGCTGCCACTCCTTTGTCAGGAGCTGGATCGGTACTGCACACACACACACAGACATACAGACACACAGATGAGACACAACATACATCCGTCCTCGGGCCGTGACGTCATATCCGCTTCCGCCCAGTGTGCCGCTGGAGCCACGCTGCGAGCTGCGTGCTGAGGAGCGCCTCTCTGCACGAAGCCTCCTGGAGCCTCTCCCGGAGCAGTCACCATGGAGGCTCATGGGCTGCGCAGTACCTCACGCACCCTCGTGGCGCTGCTCGTGACGAGCTACGCGTTCCTCACGTCTGGGCCCACGGAGGAGAAGAATTTCTCCCCGAACTGGCTGGTTAACCTGGGGGGAGCCTGGGAGGTCCAACCGCCACAGGCCGGGCAGCCTCTACCTCTCGCCAAAGCGACCGTGGCTGTCCACATCAGCGACCGGCTCGCAGATCACGAAGCCAAGAGGGAGCCTCGAGTCACTTCCTCTCCCATCCATGGCGTGGAGGTTCCCCAAGGAGGAGGAGGAGAAGACGACGACCCAGCTCCCTTAGGGTGGAAGACCTTCATGGAGATGCTGCACAGCAGGCCGGTGGCCATCGCCTACGAGGTGGCGAGTGCAGGGATCGCCCTCCTCAGCCTCGGAGTGTGGCTGAAGAATGCAGTGGTGAGTGCCAGCTTCACGATTACACAGACCATAGCGTGGCACCGCAACAGACACCACACACAGAGCCACCACACGCAGAGATGTATCACGCGTACAGATCACTCGCGTAGATATAAGAATCTCACTCGCATATGTAGTAGGTTCAATGAGACGTAGACGACGTAGTCGGAGGCACACTTAATTATTATAATGTTTCACTCAGCACAGGCCAATGTATACAACACTCGAAGGGGTAACGGCCCCTTCACCTGTCTAACAGGGAGACCCCATTAACTCTAGCCCGGCTAGCCTACTCCCAGGTCCTCCACTCGAGAGCTAGGGGAGGCTAGCTGATCCAGCTCTGGCCAAGCTAGGATCACGGCACCCTTAGTCACCAGACCGGCTCTTACCAGAGCATCGGCTCTGGGCTCTCGGGGCCACGCCACTGGCTTGCCCTGGTCGGTCCTTAGAAGGACAGCGATCCAGGGGAGTCCCAGAGCCTATCTAGCCGGTCTTCACTCTTCACTAGTTAAGCTGAATACTGAACCCCGTGCCCACCGGCTCACCGCCTTATATAGCAACTCCCCCAGGAGGGGTGGGGCCGTGGGAGATCACAGCGCCGTTACAGCCCCCCAGGGCTAACCGATGCCGACGTGGATGTAAGCATCCTTCCGCGTGCGGGCATAACCACCCCTCGTGTGTTTGTTCGCCCTCCCGTAACACCCCTACACATACACCACACACACAAGTATATATGACATCCACACACACATCCTAGACAAAGTCGCAAACACCTTGCTCAATTAATTATGCTTAAATATTATCCACTGCAACTTTAAGGGTGTTTTTTGTTACTGGCAGCGTGGCATTTGAGACATGTGCTGGACTCAGCTGTCCTTGTGCGGCGTTGGTGAGTTGCCCTGGTGCGGACAGAACTATTTCCCCAGCCAGTAGAGTCAGAATAATACTATTTATTTATGGTTGAGGAATCCGATGAGCTATGAAGCTCTTTTTCACAGATGTCCAGTAGGGGCTGGTAAGAACATTACAACAACAAATACTACAAAAACATGGTAATAGTGCAAAGTACATGAAAGGTTAAAAAATCACCCAAAAACAAACAAATAAAACTAAACCACCCCCATCATACAAAGCCCACTGAGGTACTAACTTATTTTTCAGACGGAACCTGGTCACAAATGATAGATCAACAAAGTGACATCATTTGGACATTCATAGCAGCAAAATAATCTAAATTATCGAAATAAATGTTTCTAAATGTGGAGGGAAAAACCAGAGGATCAAACTACGCAGGGCCATGGCACGTGACCAATGACTTTTGTTTATTGCCGAGAATCCAGCTGTTAGTCAAGGCTGAACTAAAGAGAGGGAAAGATACTTGTTGTCGTGCTGTACATTACAAATACTTGTGCAATGTTTTCAACAGTGGCGTCCGCGACCTCCTGCCATGCCAGCAATGGCCGTCCACACCACCAACCTCCCGAAACAAAAGGCTCGGTCGAACTTGGCCGAGATGGTACCTCAAGCAGCTTCTTCTTTAGGCTGTTGGATGATGGTTCCGCAAGATGGAGAATACCCGTCTCCCTCAAGGTGGACGACCTTGATGAAGATGCTGCACAGTGGGCCGGTGGCCATCACTTACCACGTGGAGAGCACGGGGATCACCATTACCAGCCTAAGAGTCTGGCGGAAGAATCAACTGGTAAGAGAGAGTGTGCTGGCTTCACTGTCACATAGAGAATCAGCAGGACACCACAACAGACACACACAGAGACACCACACCCAGAGAGGCATCGTGGATATAGATCACTCAGGCAAATGTCATAATCTCACATGCATAGATGACACAAATCAGAAGCAGAATATTTATACTGGAAGAATCCGATGAGCTATTAAGCTATTTTTCACAGATGTCCAGGAGAGGCAGGTTAGAACGTTACAAGAACAAACAATAAAAAATCACACTCACACCCTCGACAAAGTCGCACACATTTATTACAAGCACACACATTGTTCATGCTGTGGATTACAAATAGTTGTCCGATATTTGCGACTGAAAGGCAAGTACAACACCCGTGTTCAATCAATGGTGGTGGTGTGGCAGATGGCAAGTGAAAAAAAATATTTGAGTGGATGTGACCAACAGGGGAAGAAGGAGACTGCAATCTCTTGCCTCTCATACTGATTTTGTTTCCGGTTTTAAACAGAAGTCATCGCAACGTGGACGAGTTTATCGAAGCCGCCACATGAGAGGATCCATGTGGAAATTGGCTCGGGGCAAGCGCCACCCCATGAAAATCAAGAGGACCCACAGATCCCTCAAGACTCAGCTGGATGGCTGCTCCATGATGAATAGCTCACCAACACTTAATAGCGCACCCACCAACAGCACCACTCCTACCAACACCACCATGACAAACCCCACCCCGACCAACATTGCTATCTCGACTAACACCATCACACTTTCAAATACCACCACCTCTACCAATGCTATCCTGACTAACACCACCACCTCTTCCACCCCTACAAACCCTACCAACAACATCTTCTCCACCTTCACCACCACCAGGACCGACACCATTACCCCAGCTGAGCGTGAGTGGTGTCACCTCATGATCATGGCCCGCACCAATGCCCGCTGCACTACAATAAGCTCAATTATCCCTACCAGCTCAACCACCAACTCCCCCGCTCCTACCAACTCCACCACCTCGACCAATCCCACGCCTACCAACATTACCACGCCTACCAACATTACCTCCTCTACCCTCACTACCACTCCCAGCCACATCACCCCAGCTGAGCATGTGTCCAGCCTCATGATCATGAGGGAAAAGAGATCACTCTTCATGGCCCGGATCAATGCCTGCTCCACCACTCCTACCAACTCCACCACCTCTACCAACCACACACCTACTAACACTACCTCCTCTACTAACCCAACCCTGACCAACATCACTTCCTCTACCCTCACCACCACTCCTTCCCACATCATCACCCCAGCTGAGCGTGAGTCCCGCCTCGTGATCATGAGGGCAAAGAGACCACTCTTCATGGCCCGGATCAATGCCTGCTCCACCACTCCTACCAACTCCACCACCTTTAGAATCTGCACACCTACCAACACTAACACCCCTCCCAACACCGCTACCCTGACCAAACGCAACTACTCCGACGAACACCACCACTCCTACCAAAACCAACCCTACCAACGCCAACCCTATCAACACCAACCCTACCAACACCATTATTCTTACTACTACCCCTACCAACACCAACCCTACCAGCACCAATCCTACCAACACAATGACTCCTACCAATACGACCACCCCAACCGACACCATCACTCTTCCCAACAACAGTCCTATCAACGTTACCTATCCTACAAACGCCAACTCTATAAACACCTTGACCCCTACAAACACCACCACCCCAAATAAGAAATAATACAAAATAAATAACATTACAACATCGCTGCACCCTTTGCATGTTAGCGTGCTGCGCTACGAAGCCGGCGACCGGAGTTAAATTTCCGCTCATGGCCAACACCAGTGATCGACTCAGTCTCAAATTAGTGCCTGGTACTCATTTAGCTGAGGCTACCTCGCATGCCAGTCTGTTAAATCTTTACGGGGGATCTTTGTCTTTGACATATCTGTGGGCTAGAGTGTAGCTTGATTTATTGTTCATGTGAGGGATGCGCTTTGCCTGCAGCCGCCACTACATCTCCGCTCATGTGTGTTTAGCCGTGTCAGTGACGCGCCACGATGTAGCTACTGCTGCTGTCACTGTCACGACCCGGTCGGTGCCGGGTGCTCTGGGACGAAATAAAAAAAGTGGCACGAGGATTATCGCTGCTACTCCAGCAGATCAAGAACGGTTCTCATGGAGTCATCAAAATGCACCTGAAATCACAGCTGACCATCTCAATCACATCTGTGAAATGTCAACGGTGGTGTCCGTTGCCCCTGCTGTGAGTGGTGGAGATGTCCTTGAGCAGTGGTGATGTCCCTGAGTGGCGGTGGAGATGTCCCTGAATATTGGTGGAGTCTGTACAACGCGGCTGCTGTATTCGTGATTAAAGAACCTGAGCCGAGCGTGCTTGGTGGAGCTCAGCAGAAGGTGATGAGCCGGAGGTGTGAACTGAAAGTTCGAGCTCAAGGCGTGAGCTCAAGGTGTGAGCTCGAGGTATAAGCTGGTGATGCGGTCTGGAGGTGAGCACGCGGTGTCCCTGTGCACACAAGCGTGGTGCGGGAGGTGGCCCGAACTAAACTTTTTATTTACCAGGTAAGGCCCACTGGTCCAATAGCTCTTTTTCAGAAACTTACCTGGTCACAAATAATATCTCAATGAAGTGGCTCATCATCTGAAAATATATGTCAAATACTAGAAACGTATGTTTCTCAATGTGGAGGGGAAAACCAGAGGAGCCGTAGAAGAATCTACGCGACCACGGAGAAAACACGCAAACTCCAAATATACAGGTGTCGGGGTCGGAATCGAACCCACGTCTCCCTGTATACCAGGCGAGGTAGTTGACATCTCTCAATAACTGCCTCCTCATAGCCGTATCTCCACAAAAACAATGCGAGTGGTTATACTCATCCCGTCAGCCTTCTGAGAGTAGATCTCAGCAGCATCATTGATTCAACACAAGCAGCATCCTGGTGAGGATTGGACACTTGGTGACTAATCAGCAGTCAGGCTTGCTTGAACCAACACTGATGAATTGCCAGGTCCTCTTGGCAGGGACCCACTCTGATAGACATGGATCAAGTTCAGCAAATAACTCTGTCACGCACTGGCTCGAGCCTGGCCCTGCGGATGTCACTGGAGTGCACGGATACACGGCACCCTCTCCTGGGTGAATCTCTGGCTGCGATGGCAGTGGCGCACGAACACAATCCCGAATTAAACAAAATCAACACATTTGTTAATAACCCGGCGGCCTTTAAAGAAGAACACATACAGGCGACGCTTCGGACAATGGCCTTCCTGTCCAAGCCGGCAGCTCGCCACTTCAACAGTTGGGACGACTGCCCCGAGTGTCGGTGCGTGGCCTCTACCCGCGGCCTCTGCTCATGGTGGAGGTGGCAATGAGACCAAAACCTCATGAGCTAAATGACCTAAGGGGCTGTCCATAAATGACGTCACGCGATTTTGGACGACTTTTGACCCCACCCTCCCTCGTCACACGGCGTCACGAAAAGTCAGACCCCCCCCTCAAATATGACGTCACAAAGCTCTGCCCCCCATCCCCCCACAAAAAATAAAACACGCTTCAAATAGCTTTAAAGTATTGTCATTGTAGTGCGTATTTAATGTGCCGCTGCACTATGATGTTGTAGGATAAAACATTTATTAAAAGTATATTTAATTAAGTAGAACGTGTTGACTATATTTATTTAAAGTTACGCATTTTGATGTGACGTCACATTTCTCAAACCCCCCCCCCCTCGTCACACATCGTCACAAATGTCTGACTCCCCCCCCCCCCCCTAGGTGCGTGACGTAATTCAAAAACGTCCTCTAAATAACCTAACCAACATGGACGTCCTCTAAATAACCTAACCAACATGGACGTCCTCTCAATAACCTAACCAACATGGACGCCCTCTCAATAACCTAACCAACATGGACGTCCTCTAAATAACCTAACCAACATGGACGTCCTCTAAATAACCTAACCAACATGGACGTCCTCTAAATAACCTAACCAACATGGACGTCCTCTAAATCAGTGCTCCCCAACCTTTTTGGCACCAGGGACCGGTGTCATGGAAGACAATTTTTTCACGGACGGGGGGGGGGGGTCATGATTGGGTCTTTCCCCCTTTTCAAAGAAGCTGACTGAGACAAGTGCGCAGTGCGGGAAAGAGGCGCTCACCTCTTGCTGTGCGGCTCGGTTCCTAACAGGCCACGGACCGGTACTGGTCAGCGGCCCGGGGGTTGGGGACCCCTGCTCGTCTCAATGAGCTCACCAACACGGACGCCCGATCAGTAATCTCCACCGCCGCCGTGTGGCCACGTGGTACAACTGCAGTGCCACAGTGCGGGCGAGGCAGCTGCGTCACTCTGCGCTGTCTTCGCCGAGGGGGTCCGAGGGGGGTTGGGGGGGGGGCTCTGGGGTGCATCCCGGGGGGGTCAGGAGGGGTGCGGGCACCTCATCGCGTGCCGCTTTCAGATGCGCTTCTGCGGCCATCGCTCTTCCCGATATTTGGAAGCCATTGGAGCTCTGCACTTTTAAATGTCTTTGACAACCCATTTCTTTAGAACTGCTTTTTGTGCTTAGTTTGTTGTTCTTCACCAGCAGCCAGCACCTCCGATTATCGCGGTTGGCTACGTACGGTGCGATAGAAGTTCAACATACATGTTGTATGTTAGTGCTGTATGTTGTGCATTGGTGTTGCAGCCAGCCAGAAACCGGCGCGACCAACAATATCCCCAAGCTCTGTGGTCCTACATTGGGATAATTTGTCGATACCGCGTTGGCAGTGGTGCACAAATAAAACTCACTGAACACATTCGTTAATACCACGGCTGCCTTAAGAGGAAAATATATCATGGGCGATGTTTGAGGCAATGGGCCCCATTGCATGGCATATGTTTGCCCAGTTCCATTCAAGAGCGAGTATGCGTGTGAGGGGAGAGAACCAACGCGTGCGAGGGGGAAACATTAAATCCCCTCGAGATGGAAATGTCTCCGCTTGCTGCGCTTCCAGACCCTGGATAGGCCAGGAGATGGCGAACTTAGCGACCACGGGGAGTTTCACAACATTTGTGTGGTGATCCACACGTGCACATACACACAGACTCACTCACTCACACAGACTCACTCACACAGACTCACACACTCACACAGACTCACTCACTCACACAGACTCACACACTCACACAGACTCACTCACTCACACAGACTCACACACTCACACAGACTCACTCACTGACACAGACTCACACACTCACACAGACTCACACACTCACACAGACTCACTCACTCACACAGACTCACTCACTCACTCACACAGACTCACTCACTCACACAGACTCACTCACTGACACAGACTCACTCATTCACACAGACTCACATACTCACACAGACTCACTCACACAGACTCACTCACTCACACAGACTCACACACTCACACAGATTCACTCACTCACACACTCACACACTCACACAGACTCACTCACTCACACAGACTCACACACTCACACAGACTCACTCACTCACACAGACTCACACACTCACACAGACTCACTCACTCACACAGACTCACTCACTCACACAGACTCACAGACTCACACACTCACACAGACTCACTCACTCACACAGACTCACACACTCACACAGACTCACTCACGCACACAGACTCACACACTCACACAGACTCACTCACTCACAGACTCACTCACTCACACAGACTCACTCACTCACACAGACTCACACACTCACACAGACTCACACAGACTCACTCACTCACACAGACTCACACACTCACACAGACTCACTCACTCACACAGACTCACTCACTCACACAGACTCACACACTCACACAGACTCACTCACTCACACAGACTCACACACTCACACAGACTCACTCACTCACACAGACTCACACACTCACACAGACTCACTCACTGACACAGACTCACTCACTGACACAGACTCACACACTCACACAGACTCACTCATTCACACAGACTCACACACTCACACACTCACTCACTCACACAGACTCACTCACACAGACTCACACACTCACACAGACTCACACACTCACACAGACTCACACACAGACTCACTCACTCACACAGACTCACACACTCACACAGACTCACACACTCACACAGACTCACTCACTCACAGACTCACACAGACTCACTCACTCACACAGACTCACACAGACTCACACAGACTCACACACTCACACAGACTCACTCACTCACACAGACTCACACAGACTCACTCACTCACACAGACTCACTCACTCACACAGACTCACTCACTCACACAGACTCACACACTCACACAGATTCACTCACTCACACAGACGCACACACTCACACAGACTCACTCACACAGACTCACTCACACAGACTCACACACACAGACTCACACACTCACACAGACTCACTCACTCACAGACTCACTCACTCACACAGACTCACTCACTGACACAGACTCACACACTCACACAGACTCACTCACTCACACAGACTCACACACTCACACAGACTCACTCACTCACACAGACTCACACACTCACACAGACTCACTCACTCACACAGACTCACTCACTGACACAGACTCACACACTCACACAGACTCACACACTCACACAGACTCACTCACTCACACAGACTCACTCACTCACTCCCACAGACTCACTCACTCACACAGACTCACTCACTGACACAGACTCACTCATTCACACAGACTCACATACTCACACAGACTCACTCACTCACACAGACTCACTCACTCACACAGACTCACACACTCACACAGATTCACTCACTCACACAGACTCACCACACAGACTCACACACTCACACAGACTCACTCACTCACACAGACTCACCACTCACACAGACTCACCACACAGACTCACACACTCACACAGACTCACCACTCACACAGACTCACCACTCACACAGACTCACCACTCACACAGACTCACACACTCACACAGACTCACTCACGCACACAGACTCACACACTCACACAGACTCACTCACTCACAGACTCACTCACTCACACAGACTCACTCACTCACACAGACTCACACACTCACACAGACTCACACACTCACACAGACTCACTCACTCACACAGACTCACACACTCACACAGACTCACTCACTCACACAGACTCACTCACTCACACAGACTCACACACTCACACAGACTCACTCACTCACACAGACTCACACACTCACACAGACTCACTCACTCACACAGACTCACACACTCACACAGACTCACACTCACACAGACTCACTCACTGACACAGACTCACTCACTGACACAGACTCACACACTCACACAGACTCACTCATTCACACAGACTCACACACTCACACAGACTCACTCACTCACACAGACTCACTCACACAGACTCACACACTCACACAGACTCACACACTCACACAGACTCACTCACACAGACTCACTCACTCACACAGACTCACTCACTCACACAGACTCACACACTCACACAGACTCACACACTCACACAGACTCACTCACTCACACAGACTCACACACTCACACAGACTCACACACTCACACAGACTCACTCACTCACACACTCACACAGACTCACTCACTCACACAGACTCACTCACTGACACAGACTCACACACTCACACAGACTCACACACTCACACAGACTCACTCACTCACAAAGATCCCCCGTATATCCTGAACAGACTGTTGGGGCAAGTGCTGTTAGCGAGCACCTATGCACGGCACACGAGGGAGTGGGTAGCCAGGACCACGCCCGGCCGCCTTTGTCTCCCTAGTGACGATGTTTACACAAAGCGCCGCGCTAACCGCTGCACCGCCGCTCCCCGCTGTTACAGTGCAGCACTGTCCCCAGGTAAGATGGCCGCCCGCCCCCACGTGACTCGGCGCGCGCACTCGGCACGTGGTGTCAGCACCACGTGGTGTCACCCAGCGCGCGCGGTCTCGCGCCGCCATCACTGCTCACGGAGTCGCTGCCGCGTGAGTCTCTGGGCCTCTGTGAGAGTCTCTGTGTGAGAGTCTCTGTGTGAGAGTCTCTGTGTGAGTCTCTGGGTCGCTGTGTGAGAGTCTCTGTGTGAGAGTCTCTGAGTCTCTGTGTGAGAGTCTCTGTGTGAGAGTCTCTGTGTGAGTCTCTGGGTCGCTGTGTGAGAGTCTCTGTGTGAGAGTCTCTGAGTCTCTGTGTGAGAGTCTCTGTGTGAGAGTCTGGGTCTCTGTGTGAGAGTCTCTGTGTGAGAGTCTCTGTGTGAGTCTCTGGGTCTCTGTGTGAGAGTCTCTGTGTGAGAGTCTGGGTCTCTGTGTGAGAGTCTCTGGGCCTCTGTGTGAGTGTCTGGGTCTCTGTGTGAGAGTCTCTGTGTGTGGGCCTCTGTGTGAGGGTCTCTGGGTGAGAGTCACTGAGTCTCTGTGTGAGTCTCTGTGTGAGAGTCTGTGTGAGGGTCTGTGTGTGTGAGTCTGTGTGAGGGTCTCTGGGTCTCTGTGTGAGTCTCTGTGTGTGAGGGTCTCTGGGTGAGAGTCTCTGAGTCTCTGTGTGAGTCTCTGTGTGAGAGTCTCTGAGTCTCTGTGTGAGAGTCTCTGGGTGAGAGTCTCTGAGTCTCTGTGTGAGTCTCTGTGTGAGAGTCTCTGAGTCTCTGGGTGAGAGTCTCTGGGTGAGATTCTCTGAGTCTCTGTGTGAGTCTCTGTGTGAGAGTCTCTGAGTCTCTGTGTGAGAGTCTCTGTGTGAGTGTCTCTGGGTCTCTGTGTGAGGGTCTCTGTGTGAGTCTCTGGGTCTCAGTTGTGAGTCTCTGTGTGAGAGTCTCTGGGTCTCTGTGTGAGGGTCTCTGTGTGAGGGTCTCTATGTGAGAGTCTGTGTGAGGGTCTCTGTGTGAGAGTCTCTGGGTCTCTGTGTGAGAGTCTCTGGGTCTCTGTGTGAGAGTCTCTGGGTCTCTGTGTGAGAGTCTCTGGGTCTCTGTGTGAGAGTCTCTGGGTCTCTGTGTGAGGGTCTCTGTGTGAGAGTCTCTGTGTGAGGGTCTCTTGTGTGAGGGTCTCTTGTGTGAGGGTCTCTTGTGTGAGGGTCTCTTGTGTGAGGGTCTCTTGTGTGAGGGTCTCTTGTGTGAGGGTCTCTTGTGTGAGGGTCTCTTGTGTGAGGGTCTCTTGTGTGAGGGTCTCTTGTGTGAGGGTCTCTTGTGTGAGGGTCTCTTGTGTGAGGGTCTCTTGTGTGAGGGTCTCTTGTGTGAGGGTCTCTTGTGTGAGGGTCTCTTGTGTGAGGGTCTCTTGTGTGAGGGTCTCTTGTGTGAGGGTCTCTTGTGTGAGGGTCTCTTGTGTGAGGGTCTCTTGTGTGAGGGTCTCTTGTGTGAGGGTCTCTTGTGGGGTCTCTTGTGTGAGGGTCTCTTGTGTGAGGGTCTCTTGTGTGAGGGTCTCTTGTGTGAGGGTCTCTTGTGTGAGGGTCTCTTGTGTGAGGGTCTCTTGTGTGAGGGTCTCTTGTGTGAGGGTCTCTTGTGTGAGGGTCTCTTGTGTGAGGGTCTCTTGTGTGAGGGTCTCTTGTGTGAGGGTCTCTTGTGTGAGGGTCTCTTGTGTGAGGGTCTCTTGTGTGAGGGTCTCTTGTGTGAGGGTCTCTTGTGTGAGGGTCTCTTGTGTGAGGGTCTCTTGTGTGAGGGTCTCTTGTGTGAGGGTCTCTTGTGTGAGGGTCTCTTGTGTGAGGGTCTCTTGTGTGAGGGTCTCTTGTGTGAGGGTCTCTTGTGTGAGGGTCTCTTGTGTGAGGGTCTCTTGTGTGAGGGTCTCTTGTGTGAGGGTCTCTTGTGTGAGGGTCTCTTGTGTGAGGGTCTCTTGTGTGAGGGTCTCTTGTGTGAGGGTCTCTTGTGTGAGGGTCTCTTGTGTGAGGGTCTCTGTGTGAGGGTCTCTGTGTGAGGGTCTCTGTGTGAGGGTCTCTGTGTGAGGGTCTCTGTGTGAGGGTCTCTGTGTGAGGGTCTCTGTGTGAGGGTCTCTGTGTGAGGGTCTGTGTGTGAGGGTCTCTGTGTGAGGGTCTCTGTGTGAGAGTCTCTGGGCCTCTGTGTGAGAGTCTCTGGGCCTCTGTGTGAGTCTCTGTGTGAGTGTCTCTGTGTGAGAGTCTCTGGGTCTCTGTGTAAGTCTCTGGGTCTCTGTGTGAGAATCTCTGTGTGAGAGTCTCTGGGTCTCTGTGTGAGAGTCTCTGTGTGAGAGTCTCTGGGTCTCTGTGTGAGGGTCTCTGGGTGAGAGTCTCTGGGTCTCTGGGTGAGAGTCTCTGGGTCTCTGTGTAAGTCTCTGGGTCTCTGTGTGAGAATCTCTGTGTGAGAGTCTCTGGGTCTCTGTGTGAGAGTCTCTGTGTGAGAGTCTCTGGGTCTCTGTGTGAGAGTCTGTGTGAGGGTCTCTGTGTGAGAGTCTCTGAGTCTCTGGGTGAGAGTCTCTTGGTCTCTGGGTCTCTGTGTGAGAATCTCTGTGTGAGTGTCTCTGGGTCTCTGTGTGAGGGTCTCTGTGTGAGAGTCTCTGGGTCTCTGTGTCAGAGTCTGGTCCTGGTGCAAGAAACGCAAGAATGAAGCCTGCCAATGCCCGCCCCCTCTGCTCCACGTGGCATGGCACTGCAGCAACTCCCCGCCCGTGTGGGCCCGTGCAGTTGCACCGCCTGCACACGCGGCAGGAGACGTGGCCACTGGTGGTGTGCCGCGTGCTCGTAGTTTTAGTGGACTGTATCGTCCTTGCCCGCACAGGAAATCAAAGGTAATTGTTTATAGCACGGCCTACATGCGCGTGCGTTTTGTGTTTTAGTGTTTGTTCTTGCTCCGCACATCAGATTATCACCATTGGCTACGTACGGTGCGAAAGAAGTTAGTTTAAATTTCTACATCCGTTAAAGGAGTAGATGATGGAAAATGTAAAACTGAAGTCTCGCGTAAGGCAGTGTGGCGCTTACAGAAAGACACGCCTTTAGCTCGTGCAGTTACAGTCGTCTCAAGGAGACGCCACATGAAGATGCGTGAAGGGAATTTAATTTCTGACGGGGAGAAACAGCGGCAACTCGAAATATAAACCATTCTTGGGAGCCTCCCTTAGGTCAGTTCGGCCTTAAATGAGTACTCGGTTCATTGCGAGTGTAGATTCGGGAGACAAAGACGGCTATGATTCTGCTTACACGACCACTAACAGCACGCTGCTGGCCTTCATAGAGGCTCACTCGCTGCCCTTGATGTTTAGAGCTAAAAGTAGCGAATTGAGTCCCCGAAAGAAGATCTGAGCAGGCCATAAAATAAGGGACAATAAACTCAAAATAGTTTTTTATGCTTTTCATCGTCAACGCCTGCTGTTGTATCATTTCAAGCGGCATTGGTTCAACACAAGCATGTAAGAATTGTTCCAATACCACCAGGTAAATTAGTTGCTAGATGTACTGTTAATGTATGAAGTTCATAGTTTAAATAAAAGTAATCTAATGTCCGCGATTTTGAATTATCCGCGGCTGTCCTCCCTGTCAGCACGAATAATCGATAATCTACTTTATTAGCTGACGTCCAAAGAAAATCCTAAATGAATGAAAATCAGGTCTACGATTGTCATTCAATTATAGACCTGATTGAATGAAAATCAGGTCTATCGTCATAATTACAGACCCCTTAATCTGTGATGATGACGATGAGTGGCCGCTTTCAAATGGGAAAAGTCGACGCTGTCTTTGCGCGTCAGGTGCTGCCTTAGCACTTGTTCTGATCCCATGCCTTGGTTGGGATTTTAAAAAATGTCTGTTTCCCAGTGGAGCCTGGGACGCGTCACGCAGCCGCCCCTACCTGCTGCCGGTGTGCGGACACGCGTCTCGTGTGGAGCATGCCTGCAGGACAAAGGCACGCGCACGCGCGGGCTGCGAGTTTGTGTGCCCGACCTGCAAGGTACAGCTACGACAGTCGTATGGCCACGTTGTGTACACACGCGCGTACGAGTGTGTATGTCAGGGTGTTTGTATCTGCCTGCATGTGCACAACAGTGCAGCGGTTAGCGCTACGCTGCGCTACGAACCCGGCGACACGAGTTCGATTCCCGCTCATGGCCGCCAACACTGGTGACGATTATATGAACCAGTCCTGGACCTCCCCTAAAGTTGACTCGGCGTCAAATGAGTACCTGGTACAGTGTGTAAACAACGCCACTGGGGAGACAAAGGCGGCCGGGCTTGATGTTGGCCAAACACCCTCTCGCGCCGTGCCGGCCTTCATGGATGCTACTCACTATCGGCACTTGCCCCAACAGTCTGTTAAGGCTACACGGGGGATCTTTGTCTTTTGTATGTGAACGTGTTATCAAAACGCCTCTCGGCTGGTCTCGTGTGAAGTCCCCAGTGGTGTAACTGGGTGCTACTGCAGTGGATAAAACAACCTGCAAATATGAGCCAAAGATTTATTTGTTAACAGTGAAAGCGAAGTTTTTCAGGCATTGTCAAAAACATTTTGCAAGGGACCAGAATGGATGAATCCGAGTCAACGACACAAGATGTCGCTTGCTTCTGTCTGTGATTTGCAGTTACGAGTTTTACTCACTCTGCCACGTTTGCAATAGTTTCCTTGTATTTGGCAAGCAATCGGAGAGGGACAAACGGTGATGCCATCTTTTTTGTACGCTTTCTCTTTTTGAAAATGTTGCTGCTTGACATTTTAATGGTACACTACCAAGCTGTCAGTTGAATATGTAGCAGGCTTTCGCGACCAATGTCCATAATCGAGGTTTTTGGGTTAGATTGCGTAAATATAATAAATGTCGTTAATCCCGGCACCACCCAATACGGTCAATTAGTAAGGTTTGTCACGTAACCAAAACATGCCAATTCATGACTAGTACAGCACATCGTTGGAAAGTAAAGATGTATTAAAATACAGGAAAATATATTGTTATACGGCATTCTACAATCTGGAATGCTCTTCACTAACCAGCATCTGTCGTAAACGGCAATGCGAATCTTCCTTCATGTACAGACAGTCCCCAGGTTGCGAAAGATCTGACTTGAGGAAATCTAACCTAATGGGAATGCTTCCATAAATCACGTAACAATAAAACATCGATATGCAGACATTCTTGCGTTAATTACGTAAGCGCAAATATTGCAGCACAGTGAGGTTTGCGGATGAATACCGTGGAGCGAGACGTAAGGCGAGGGGCAACCTTACGCCTCGCTTGAGCTCCACGAGGGTTAAGGCATTTATTGTCGTGTTATGTAATTCTTTCATTTCGTAGCATTATGTCATTGCTTGTTTTATATGCTGAGAGCTTGTTTTTCCCCATGTTTCTATTGCTAGTTTTCTTCATTTAAGTTTATTTCATGAGTTTTTTACTGTATGTACTTTATTTAACACAATTCTACTTCAGTTGCTTATGCACTCAGCCCAGTATCAAGGGGTTATCTGTGTTGTGTCCAGCCCCATGGCAAGGGGGGGGGGGGTATCTGTGTTTTGTCCAGCCCCGTGGCAAGGGGGTATCTGTGTTGTGTCCAGCCACATGGCAAGGGGGGGGTATCTGTGTTGTGTCCAGCCCCGTGGCAAGGGGGGTATCTGTGTTGTGTCCAGCCCCGTGGCAAGGGGGTATCTGTGTTGTGTCCAGCCACATGGCAAGGGGGGTATCTGTGTTGTGTCCAGCCCCGTGGCAAGGGGGGGTATCTGTGTTGTGTCTAGCCCCGTGGCTAGGGGGGGTATTGGTGTTGTGTCCAACCCCGTGGCAAGGGGGTATCTGTGTTGTGTCCAGCCACATGGCAAGGGGGGGGGGTATCTGTGTTGTGTCCAGCCACATGGCAAGGGGGGGTATCTGTGTTGTGTCCAGCCACATGGCAAGGGGGGGGGTATCTGTGTTGTGTCAAGCCACATGGCAAGGGGGGTATCTGTGTTGTGTCCAGCCCCGTGGCAAGGGGGGTATCTGTGTTGTGTCCAGCCCCGTGGCTAGGGGGGGTATCTGTGTTGTGTCCAGCCCCGTGGCTAGGGGGGGGTATTGGTGTTTTGCGATGACGCCTACTCACACCTTCGTCTCCTTCGTCAGGTCCCCGGCCTCCTACCTGCAGCCCGACGAAGCGCTTGGAAATTTCCTACTCACGTGAGCATCACCGCTCTCCCCCTCGCCTCTGCGGCCGCTCGGCTCATCTCCGTGTGCGCGATAATGCGTGGTGACATGTTTATTGCATTTCTCTTTTTTTATACTAACTGCTATAAACTAAACTTTTTTATTTTAAGTGCCTACTGAACTATATAGCTATTTTTCAGAAGTGACCTGGCTACTGTAATAAAAGACTCCGTTGGTCACTGTTGGTCTCCTTTGGCCTTTTATTTAGTTTCTTTCTCCGCACCCCGCTGGTCCTGTCCGCGGACCAGCGTCGTCTAGCGCGCGCCCCGCACGCGCGACCTCATCGGCTCCTCCACTCTTTCTCACACCCCGCTAGTCCTGACAGGGGACCAGCGTCTCCTCGCGCGCGCCCACGCACGCTCCTCCGTTAGCTCCTCCACTCCCGCACTCCGCTGGCCGACGGCGTGCTGAAGGTCCTTCGGCCACGTGGCCGATGGCGCGGATCTCCTCTCACCACCCAACGTGGCTCAGCCTCTTTACTCCCGCAACTGACCCCGATTTCTTCCGAGCTCCCACTTATATCCTCTCCCCCACGTGACCCTGACTCCTCCCCTTCCGGATCGTCAGATACGGCCTTCCCATACTGCCCTGCTGGCTCCACCCCCATTCACCTCGCTTCCAATTGGAGCCGAGGTGAACGGCGGCCCCTCCCACACGCCCCCCATACCGGGCTCTGCCCCCCAATAACCCGGGCCGTGTGATTGGGCCAGAGCCCAGCAGCAAACCCCATTTACGCTCGCATTTCACTACAAATAATAGTTCAACGAAGGGGCTTATGTGCAAATTTTAATTAGCCAAATACTATTAAGGCATCTTGAATCTAAATGTAGAGGGGAAAACTAGAGGACCCAGAGAAAAATCCACGCGACCGCGGAGGGAACATGCAAACTCCAAATTTACAGCAGGCGTCAGGGTCAGGATAGAACCCACGCCCTCCTGTATACCACGCCACCATGACACTATACTGCCAGCCACCGTCCAACATTCACAAGGTTCAGAAATTCCCTTCGCGGCCTGCGGAACACGCTGCAGATAAAGTTATATAGGGCGGGCACAGAGTACCCACAGTTTCCAGTGTCCACCCCCTACCCACAAGCCTCGTCCCTCACCACTCCCTTATCACAATTCTCACCCTTCCCTACTCCCTACCCACAAACCTCACCCATCCCCTACCCACAAGCATACAGGCACCACTCGCGTGGGCGCAACGTGCACAGGTGCAATGCAGGCAGGCCCAATACATAGTGGCATTGCTCAAGATTGCTTTATCAGATCCTCAGTAAGTCTGCACTCCAGCTAACATTGTAGATCGCGGCGCAGACAGCCGAGTTACACGGAAGCGCTAGAGTTTGCTCTACACGGAGCGTTAACGGCCCGCCTCCATTCCGAGCATGCGTGGAAGCGTGCTCAGCAGCGTCAAAGCGAGCCGCCGTGAGTTGGGCAAGAACGTTGACAGCCCTGACCATGTGGAACGTGGCTCGTTCAGATGGCGCGGCGAGCTTTCACTCACTCTAGCGGCGTTGTGACTCGTTGGGGCCGCTCCGTGTCAATGACCCGCGGCGGTCTCGACTGTTGCCCAGCCCAGGACTCTGGGCCTCAATAGCCTATGCAGAGCCAACGCCCTCCAAAACGTTGACCTGCAGCATGTTGCGTGGCCGAAAGGGAATTGCTGAATGTTACGAGGAATGTTGGACCAGTGGCTCGTGGTATGGACTAGAGAAACAAGTTTTCCATTCATGAAAAATGTAACGTGATCTATTTGGTGTTTGAACATCTTAAGACATGTTTTATTGCCAGAAAGGGTAAAACTTATTGTTATTCTTTATATTTCGATGCTGACAACAAGGTCCCATGACAAGTTTTAAAAACAATTCCACAAATGACTAAACTCCCTAAGTCTTCGTAACAGCCGTGCTTCATTGCTTTGTGTAGCAGCGCCACCGTGTGGATGGAGCCTCATAGCACTTGGAGTGTGGCATTTTTTTTATTGTGTGTGGACATCGCGTTGCGGCCTGTGTGTGCGGGGCGTGCAGGCTGAAGGAAATGCTGGAGGAGCGATTTGGTGGGAAGCCTCGGCCGCTCTACCCTGAGCGGCCGCTCGCGCAGGGCAGCCGCGGCGCTGGTGTCTGGCACCTATCTTGTCGAGGGCTCTGTACAGCACAAACCACTGCACCTGGGCCACGGCCCGAATCCAAAGCCTCCGTTCTGACGGTCAGATTCAGGTCTGTTCCCGTAGTCGAGTTCACGTTAAAATTTATGCTGGGCAATGAGTTGATTGAAACCTAGAGATGTAAAATAGCAGACAGGTCACTTCTGTCACCAGGCCTTTTAGCTGCGTTCCAACCAAGGCTTTTTCTATTTCCACACCTCCGATTAGCACAGTTGGCTATGTACGGTGCGAAAGAAGTTCAACATACATATTAATAAGTTTGTTTATCCCAGGAAGGCCTCAGGCTTTCACAACCATTATCCATAATCGAGGTTTTTGGGTTAGACGACGTAAATATGAATGTGTCGTTAAACCCGCCACCGCCAACACAGCCAATTACTGTAGTAAGGTTTGTCACGTAATCAAAACGTGCTAATTCGTTACTAGTTCAGCACACTGGTGTGTTCGACAGTAAACCCCCAACATTTACAATTCAATACTCTTTGGTTCTTTTGGTAAAGTCACGTAGGTATAACATAAAATTTACAATTCGAGTACGACGTTTTGTCAGTAATTCCAACTCACATCAACAGGCGATAGCCAGGGTTGTTAAGAGCGAAGCAGGAGGATTTCTCAAGAGATAAACGTGATGTCTCACTTGTGGGGCAATTAGGCAGAAGGCCGGGGAGGGGGGGAGGTTATAAATGCATATAAATTACAATGGATATCCAATATCAGTTGGGTTATTCATAGGATAATCAACAGACATACATTCACATTATGCATGCACACCATGCATATCCATCCTGCCGTTTTTGGTTGCAAGAAAGACGGGTTTTTTTTATTCCAGCGTTCAGATAGTTGCCCAGTACCAGTTACGTTGCCATGGCGTGTTGTAGGCTGAAGCATTGACGCTAGAGGATGACCGAAACTGAATTTCGGGTTTCGGCCGAAACCGAAACCAGACCGAAAGTTAAATATTGGCTTTTGGCCGAAACCGAAGCCGAAACCGAAAGTTGAACTTCACTTTCGGCCAAAACCGAAAGTTTAACTACACTTTCGACCGAGACCAAAACAGAAAGGTTTATAACCAAAGTTACCGAACACAAGATTTATGAAATACTAGCTTTACTACCCGGCTTCGCCCGGGACTTGGATTCACCACGGCCGGCTGCCTTTGTCTCCCCAGTGGCGATGTTGACACACCACTTACTCGTTTGAGGCTGAGTCGACCTAGGGGAGGCCCAGGACCAGTTCAAATAATCGTCACCGGCAGTGGCCATGAGTGGAAATTGAACTTGGGTCGTCGGGTTCGTAGCGCAGCGCGCGAATCGCTACGCAGTCGCTGCCCCCCCCTACATACACACAGGATAAGGACAAAAATCCACCATGTAGCCTGTGAGACTGTAGGGAGCAAGTGCTGTTAGCGAGTACCTATGAAGGCCGGCATGGCACACGAGGGGGTGGGTGGCCAGCACCACGCCATGTTCGTAGCGCTAAGCGCTACACATGCGCGGGTGACATGACAGATGTGACATCACAGCTCGCTTGCCGTGCAAAATATATGCATTAATGCACCCCCCCCCCCCCAAAAAAAAATAATACCGAAGTGTATGCATGGTGTACAGTATGGAAAGTACCCACATGGCAAATTTAAAGTTTGTTGCATGTCGGGAAGTACGCTAAACATTTTGAACAGACACATTCACAAATTTTCATTTTTTATATATAGGTCATGATGCAATGCTACTTTAATAAAAAATCTATCTAGAACTAATCATTCAGAGCCTGCAGTAAGAGTCGTTAAATATCAAATCTTTAGGTGTTACTTAGTAATTATATCTAAACAAACGAATGTTGTAGTTAAGAAATACCAGTTTTTCCGCATTCTCGCCCAGCAGGTTGCTGTTTCTTGCATCAGAATCGACTTTAGTGATTAACTGCTCCGTTTATTAAGTTTAATTTTCTACTTCACTCAGATTCGTAATTTTGTTATCACTAATTCGCTACGTAACTATTAACTAACTGAATAACAATATTGTCAGATTTCGATTTAAAGCTTTCGTGACTGCAGGGATTCATCTTCTTGGTTCTTTCGGTAAAGTCACATAGAAGGGAAATAATAAAATAATAAAAATAAAACATAAAATAATTCTCACGACGTTTCGGCCACAACGCAAGCAGCTGTCCTCGGGTGAAGAATTCTTCATTTTTTTTATTATGTTTTATTTTTATTATTTTATTACTTCCCTTCTAAGTGACTTTACCGAAAGAACCAAGAAGAATATTGTCAGACTTCGAATCTCGGTATCAACACGCGTGTAGACTGAAGAGAACGCAACACATAAGCCAAGGCGGGCAGGCGGCTGGGAACAGACAACGGCACTTTGTTGTCGTCCCGCCAAAGAGACTCCACCCACGGATGCAAAAGCAGGCTGCCGTCTGTTGACATTAACAGACCATCGTTGCGGCTGTAACCTCGCTCCCAAGCTGCTGCTGATGTGTTTTTGCAGCCTATCGCAGGATTGCCTAGCGCCGACTGACCGGCCAATAGGCAGAGAGATAAACGTAGCACTAGCGTTATATTCTAAAAATAGATCTTCGGTTGACCGAAAGTCAATATCAGTTTCGGCCGAAATCGAAAGTAAACCGAAAGTAAAAAATGTACTTTCGGCCGAAACCGAACGTATGTCGAAAGTGGCCATTTGCCAACTTTCGGCACCGAAACCGAATTTCGGTCGGCCTTTACTTTACGCATCACCTCTGTGCGACCGACTGGGGATCGCAGCAACTTGAAAAGGTGATCAAATGTACAAGAGGGGTTGGTATGAATCCTATTGCTATTTGGGACTTAGCTTGGAAAAACAAAACCAAGCATGTGTTTATCAAAGGATTATTCAATATTGGGCCAAAAAAGGATTGTTGATTACAGTAGACTCTCCATTTTCCACACTAATGACCGGGAGGATGGCCACGGATAATTCAAAATCGTGGATAATCCCAAATATTCATCTTCCGTGGATCTCTATGCCAAAAACCACTAAAGTATAGTGGTATAAGTTATGTTTAAGTTAAGAAAATTGAGTTGGTTAATGAATTAAACTAAAATTGTAGAACTCACGATAGATCGATGCGCGTGCTCACTGATAACAATTTCCTGCTCCCGCGCAGACGACTCGGCCCACAAAGGGGACAGCAGCAGAGCCACGTCAATCAACATCAATCATTGCAATGGACAATTTTACGTGATTGCATTTACTGATCTGACCGAGGTGGTGGCACGTGCCTGTAAACTCATGGGGCTGAAAGGTGGCAGTATAGAAAGTTGGGGCACGTGACTTGTCTGTGCGGCCCTGTGAATGTTGTCCCCTTGTGCTCGTGGGCTTTCGCTCATTACTCAGTGCTGCAAAGCAGTGGCAATGGGAGCCAAGTACAGTAGACTCTCGATTGTTCGCGCTAATTAGGGGAGGACGGCTGCACTAAGACCCATAGAATCATACACAGACACACAGCCTCACACAGACACCCATTGACTCACACAGAAACCCAAAGACTCGCACAGAAACAATATACTTGCACAAAGACCCATAGACTAACACAGCGACCCATAGACTCACACAGAGACCCATACACCCACATAGGGACAATATACTTGCACACAGACCCATAGACACCGAGACCCAATGACACACACAGAGAAAAAAATCCCACAGAGACCCATAGACTCACACAGATACCCATAGACTCACACAGAGACCCATAACCTCACACATAGACCCATACACCCACACATAGACCCATACACCCACACAGAGACCTATAGACTCAAACATATACCCATAGACACACACAGAGACCCATAGACTCACACAGAGACCCATAAACTCACACAAAGACTATACTTGCCCAAAGACCCATAGAATCACAGGAAGACACATTGGCAAACACAGAGACACCGACTCGCACAGAGACACAGACACCCATTGACACACACAAATACCCAAAGACTCGCACAGAAACAATATACTTGCACAAAGACCCATAGACTAACACAGCGACCCATAGACTCACACAGAGACCCATACACCCACATAGGGACAATATACTTGCACACAGACCCATAGACACCGAGACCCAATGACACACACAGAGAAAAAAATCCCACAGAGACCCATAGACTCACACAGATACCCATAGACTCACACAGAGACCCATAACCTCACACATAGACCCATACACCCACACATAGACCCATACACCCACACAGAGACCTATAGACTCAAACATATACCCATAGACACACACAGAGACCCATAGACTCACACAGAGACCCATAAACTCACACAAAGACTATACTTGCCCAAAGACCCATAGAATCACAGGAAGACACATTGGCAAACACAGAGACACCGACTCGCACAGAGACACAGACACCCATTGACTCACACAAATACCCAAAGACTCACACAGGGACAATATACTTGCAAATAGACCCATAGAATCTCACACAGACACACAGCCTCACACAGACACCCATTGACTCACACAAAGACCCATAGATTCACATAGAAACTATATACTGTCACAAAAACCCATTGAATAACACAGAGACACAAATACACACACAGACCCATGGACACACACAGGGACAATATACTTACAAAAAGACCCATAGAATCGCACAGGGACATTAACTCACACAGAGACAATAGACTCACAAAGGGACAATATACTTGCACAAAGACCCATAGAATCATACACAGACACACAGCCTCACACAGACACCCATTGACTCACACAGACCCATAGACTCACACAGAAACAATATACTTTCACAAAGACCCATTGAATCACACAGAGACACAGACATACATCGACTCATAGATTCACACAGGGACAATATACTTGCACAAAGACCAATATAATCACATAGAGACCCATAAACTCACACAAAGACAATATACTTGCACTAAGACCCATAGACTCACACACAGACACACAGCCTCACACAGACACCCATTGACTCACACAGAAACCCAAATACTCACTCACTGGGACAATATACTTGCAAATAGACCCACAAAATATCACACAGACACACAGCCTCACACAGACACCCATATACTCACACAGAGACCCATAAACTCAAACATATACCCATAGACACACACAGAGACCCATAGACTCACACAGAGACCCATAGCTCACACAAAGACTATACTTGCCCAAAGACCCATAGAATCACAGGAAGACACATTGGCAAACACAGAGACACAGACTCGCACAGAGACACAGACACCCATTGACTCACACAAATACCCATCGAAACACACAGACTATACTTGCACTAAGACCCATAGAATCACACACAGACACAGCCTCACACAGACACCCATTGACTCACACAGAAACCCAAAGACTCGCACAGGGACAATATACTTGCAAATAGACCCATAGAATCTCACACAGACACACAGCCTCACACAGACACCCATTGACTCACACAAAGACTCATAGACTCACACAGAAACAATATACTTTCACAAAAACCCATTGAATAACACAGAGACACAAATACACACACAGACCCATGGACACACACAGGGACAATATACTTACAAAAAGACCCATAGAATCGCACAGGGACATTAACTCACACAGAGACAATAGACTCACAAAGGGACAATATACTTGCACAAAGACCCATAGAATCATACACAGACACACAGCCTCACACAGACACCCATTGACTCACACAGAGACCCATAGACTCACACAGAAACAATATACTTTCACAAAGACCCATTGAATCACACAGAGACACAGACATACATCGACTCATAGATTCACACAGGGACAATATACTTGCACAAAGACCCATATAATCACATATAGAGACCCATAGACTCACACAGAGACCCATAAACTCACACAAAGACAATATACTTGCACTAAGACACAGACAGACACACAGCCTCACACAGACACCCATTGACTCACACAGAAACCCAAATACTCACTCACTGGGACAATATACTTGCAAATAGACCCATAAAATCTCACACAGAAACAATATACTTTCACAAAAACCCATTGACTCACACAGAAACCCATAGCCTCACACAGAAACAATATACTTTCAGAAAAAAACCCATTGAATCACACAGACACATGGACATACACACAGACCCATAGACTCACACAGGGACAATTTACTTGCACATTGTCCCATAGAATCACACAGAGACACATAGACACACACAGAGACCCATAGAATCGCACAGGGACAATTTACTTGTACTTTTCAAATATACTGCCACCACCTCCTCCTTTTGTTTGCCCGTCTCATCAACATATATTCCATCCTTACATTTCTATTCGGCTAGGGAATTATACGTGACGTAAGCCATGTTTCAGACAGACAGAAGATGTCTGGATAAAGATGATTGAATTAAATCTTGAATTGCTCAAATTTTGCTTTCTGGCCTCTAATATTGATGTGGGCAATGCCAACACCCTGTCGGTATTTTAAATCTAATGAGTTACATGGTGAGTGATGGGGAAGGTGTGGCACTAATGCAACCAGGATTGGTTTGAACACCCAACATAATCAACAATATAAACATTTATTGTTTTAGAATGTATTTTCTACTAGAGTGCCATTTTAAATGGCGTTTTCTGGCATATAGAGAGGTATGTTTGTGATTCATATTTAAGCTTCATATAACAGGAGGTTACGTATGAAACAAATATGAATTGTAGAATATTGAAGACTGCAAGAACAAAATGAACATAATATAGGAGATGCATTGTTTGAGAAAGTATGTGGGTTTGTTGTGTCTGATGAATGAGGTCACATTGTCAGAGAGTTTGATGGGTCGGCTGACAATGGGGTAAAAAGACAGCTGATTTACTGGGTGGGAGACCAGCAGCAGTCTGCTCTACCAGTCCTAAACAGCCCAGTAGCAGCACATACAGCAGCCAGGGGAGGACCTCTTTCGAGTGGGAGCTCATCCCAGGGTCTTGACCGCGATCTGACAGCTGAGCTCGGGTGGGTTGAAGATGCGCATGAGGTCCCCAAGCTGGTGGAGCGCCACGCCGCCCACGCAGCTGTAGTGCCATAGATGGGCCACACTTACCAGCAGTGGTGGACAGGGCCCATCT